TAACATTGCTAGAAAAAAAAAATGGCATCTATAAAGATTGACATTTAAGATCGGATAGTTAAAACATAGATGTCTTAAAAGTATTATGTGAAGATAATTTCATGAAGAGTTGAAGGTAAATTTTATGAAGCTGAAATTTGGTTGTTAGTGTCATTTTTGGGAAGCAGTAGGGCCTTTAATAACTTAGTTAAGCATGATGAAAATAAGATAGTTAAAATAGACGAGTGAAAAAACTAGGAATGATAAAAAATGATGAATGAATTAGGGGAATAATTTTAGCAACATTTATTGCAAATAAGGTAGTTGAAAATAGACTTGGGTAGTTTGGACATATACAATGAAGGGTAGAAAATATGCCCATTAAATGGGTAGATAAAATTGTTGCTGGGTCTGAAGTAAGATGTTTAGAAGTTGAAATAATATGCAAAAGAATATGTTTAGTGAATGCAAGCACGCATAGGAATGAATGGATAATGAGGATTCATGTAGTTGGCCCCCAAATAGTTGAGGTAAGCGTCATATGGCTAATGATGATGATGATGATGATGATGATGGTGATGGAACTGAATTGAAGGATTTTGGTCAGGTGGACATGAAGCATGCTGGTTATGCTTAGTATGCAACGCTTTATTGGTGTGGTTGTCACTATGAGTTTGGATTAGAAAAATGTTTTGCAAAGGGGTGTGATTAAGCATATTATTCTTTATTGTACTCCCTATGTTGTATTGTTTGTAGATTAGCTTGCCTTGATTTGTATGTCATCTTTGTATACAATGGTATATATTGTATGCATTTTTGTGTACTTGAACTAATTCCAATAAACAGTGTAATTTTCTTAATTATTTTTATTGTTTTTCCATGATTCAATTGTTATACTGATGCCCTTATTGATGTCAATGCTGTCTGGCAACAATTCACATCATTTAATTATCTGAAAGTTTAATGCTGTAGTTTATTCTCTTTATGTTTTTTTTTTTTGAGGGAAAATTAAACCTTATTTCTCTTAGAAATTCTTCAAGAAGTAGCTTAAATCTATTAGGTGCGAGAAGCTGAAGTTTGATTTGATTTTTAGGTCCATCCAGAAGGAAAATATGTTGTTGATGTGGATAAGAATATTGACATTACAAAGATCAGTCTATCAACCAGAGTTGCTCTTCGCAATGATAGCTATGTCCTTCACTTGATTCTGCCTAGCAAAGTTGATCCTCTGGTTAATCTTATGAAAGTTGAAAAGGTTCCTGATTCTACATATGATATGATTGGTGGCCTTGACCAGCAAATTAAAGAGATAAAGGAGGTTAGAAGAAATCAGCTGAACTTGATTTTTCTTCTTTTTTCTACTCCAATACATGATTTTTTGCATAATTTTTGTAAATTACCTTCATTCCTTAACCTTATAATACATTAGCGTTCATGTCATGGCCTTATAATGCATTTAGTCGAAACTTAAAATTTACAATAGTCTCTGAGCATTATCAAAAACTCTAATTGTATATGCAGGTTATTGAGCTTCCAATCAAACATCCAGAGTTGTTTGAAAGTCTTGGAATAGCTCAACCTAAGGTATTGGACCTGTACATAATCTATATTGTTATTTTTTTCTTTTGATTTCAGTAAAATTTGAGTATCGTATTTTTCTTTCTTTTAGTTTTTTTGGTAGTATCCTGAACTTCTGACTATTTCTTTTTCCAGGGAGTTTTGTTGTATGGACCGCCTGGTACTGGAAAGACTTTACTGGCAAGGGCTGTTGCTCATCATACTGACTGCACCTTCATTCGGGTTTCTGGCTCTGAATTGGTTCAGAAGTACATTGGAGAAGGCTCTAGAATGGTTCGTGAACTCTTTGTTATGGCAAGGTATGCTTAGGTTTTTGTTGGTGACTATAAGTGATTTTTTAAACTATAAGATTTCTTGTGGTGGAATTAATGCTATTGATTGGAAGCACGTGATATACTAAACTGAACATTTCATGATAGGACTATTCTTAAGATGTGTATTTTGTTGGCATAGCTATACGGTGGTTGAATTACAGAGGTGTTTTCTTTTAGTGATTCAACCAAACAAATGGGTGAAATTTAATTTCAATACAATTCATATGACCCCTCTTTACAAAACAAAAAATTAAAAATATAGACAAAATAAAAACTCAATTTATCATCAAACAAGCAATGAAATAAAGTTATCACTTAATTTCTTCTTAATCAAACAAGCGGGTAAAACTTAATTTCAAATGAGTTACTTTACGATTGTCATTCTCTTTTTCATTTCCTATTATAACTCTTCCAAAACCAGCGGAGCTCACCTGTTTTGCTGCTGTTTTTTTTAGTACATCCATTCATTGCTGTTTAAGCTGCCTTTTCGCTGCAAATCTGTTTAAGCTAAATCTTTTTGAATATATAAATTCTGACATTTGAATGTCTATCGTACTACTTACAGGGAACATGCCCCATCTATCATCTTCATGGATGAGATTGATAGTATTGGTTCTGCTAGAATGGAATCTGGATCCGGCAATGGGGATAGTGAGGTGCAAAGGACCATGCTTGAACTTCTCAATCAGTTGGATGGGTTTGAAGCTTCAAATAAGATAAAGGTACCATCTCTGATTTTGTTAATATTAATATTGAAACTAAACCGAATCACGTAAGAAAATGCTCAAACCTTTTTATTTGACAGGTTCTGATGGCCACTAATAGGATCGATATTTTGGATCAAGCTCTGCTCAGGCCTGGTCGTATTGATAGAAAAATTGAGTTCCCCAACCCCAACGAAGAGGCATGTCTTTTAATTTCAGAATTGCTTTGCTTTAACAAATAGAGATGCACTTTTGATGTGCCTCATTTAATCAATCCTCAAAGTTCGTCTATGATTAATTCGTATGAAATGCTAAATTTGCATGAGGTTTTTTCAGTCCCGCTGGGATATCCTGAAAATTCATTCAAGGAAGATGAACTTGATGCGTGGAATTGATCTAAAGAAGATTGCCGAAAAGATGAATGGCGCTTCCGGTGCAGAGCTTAAGGTAACACATGCACTTACTGAGTAATTGCATGATTGGTAACAATAATTTGATATGATTTTGGTGCGTTCAGGCTGTATGTACAGAAGCAGGGATGTTTGCCCTGAGAGAGAGGAGAGTGCACGTTACGCAGGAGGATTTCGAGATGGCAGTGGCGAAGGTCATGAAGAAGGAGACTGAGAAGAACATGTCCCTCAGAAAATTGTGGAAGTAGTCTTTCTTCATACCCCACGCGAATGAAGTATTGCGTCTGATTTTCAACTATTTAAATGCTTCTGAAGTTGTTTACAATGTTTAATGCGTTTGATGAGGTTTATCAATACCATCAAAATGTTTCATATGGGATTGGACAAAATCTAAGAATTTCTTATATTCGAAATACTGTTTGATCTGATGATATGCGGTGTTCAATGTGGGTGTTGTCGAAATATTTATTGTTTTCTTGAGAATTGCAGTGAATCAATTAGATTGTAGCCTTCACACTTGCTGTTCTTTGTTCATACAACAATTCCGGCGTGCAATCATGTGTTGAAGCATATGTGTATATATCATACGTCTACTCTATTTTGAATTGAATATATTAAAATTAAAGCAGGACATTTTCGATGCATATATATCATATGTCGTCTCTATGATCAAGTAGGCGTATTTTAATTTTACCTTTGAATCTATTAAGATTTTATTTGAGAGTTTTCTTATTGTTTTGTAAAGTTGCTTTCTAATATAAAATTTTCTTTAACTAAGGCTTTATTTGAGAGAATTTTTTTTTAAAAAAAAGAGATTTAGTTACAAAATTAAAAATTTTGTACTAAAATTTTATTTTAATTAGCAATAAAAAAGTCGTCCTAACCAAGCCTAAAGCTTAGGTTTCGTTTGGGACGATTTTTTTAATTCTTCTTAAAGCGGCTTTCTAGTACAAAAAATTACTAGAAAGTCATTTTAAGAAGCAGTAAGAAAGCCGTCACAAATGAAGCCTTAGTTTGGGATGGCTAGTATAAAATTTTAATTTTTGTACTAAAAAGCTGTTTTAAGCAGCAGTAAGAAAGTCGTCACAAACAAAGCCTTAATTTGTGATGATTTTTTTATTGCTTTTTAAAGCATAAAGAAGTCATCTCAAATTAAATCTAAAAAGCTGTTTTAAAAACTGTAATAGAGTGTCCTAATCAAAATCTAAATTTTGGTGATCACCTCGCAAGTTGCAATTGGCGAGTATCAGGTTTATCCTTCTCTTCTCAGTTTGGTTTTAGAGTTCTCAATATTGGTGGAGATAGGGAATCTTTTTGTTTTCAAGGAATTTTTATATTTAAAATTAAATGTGCACGTGCATATAGCATAGAAGTTTTAACATGAAGTTGTAACGCAACATAAAGGATAAAATTAAGGGGAACATAGCTTTTATTTTAGATAGTCTTCATGCTGATTTATTTTTCAGGTTACAATCATAATTTATGTTTGTTTATTATTTTTTATCATTTAAAAAAAAAATTGAGCTATAAAATTATTTTTTACAATAGCTTTAAAAAGTTATTTTTTCTATAATTTTATAAACAACAACAACAACAATATTAAGCTTTTATGTCATTAAATAAGGTCTGCTACATGAATCTTTTTTTCTTTATTGTGTCTTGTTAAGAATTAAATTTTCATTTATATTTAATAAGGAACGAACGTTCATTCCTGATATTTTATAATCAAATCTTTTTAGACCTATCTATACATTTTTTAGTATAAACTAAATTTAATACATTTACTTCTAAATGGGTCGTCAGAAGGCCACCGTTTTATCTGACCAAACTATCTAAGGCAGCTCTCTAATCTTATCTTCCTCTAGAGCTATTAACATAAACCTAGTTGTAACATATAATAAAATATTAAATTATCAATTAAAAAATAAAAAAAAAATCATGTAATTTCAATAATTAATCGGGAGATAATATCCAATAAACAAAATTTTTACAACTATAAATTTTTGTACTATAAATTAAAAAAAAAAAAGACAACTTTATAGTAATGTTAGCTGCATTGATCTCAGAAAGGTTCTCTGCAACAGATTTCTTTTGCACAGACATTAACAGTTGGGAACAGAAGAACCTGTAAAGGAACCTAATGAACTTCACCCTTGATTTTTCTTATCGAAATTTCTTCTAAAGTCTTCTGCTGCAATCCCGTTTAGTGGATCGAAGTCTCCCTTCCCAGTTGTAAAGGATGAGTCATTCCAGTTGCTGTAACCATCAATGGTCATGTTCTTGATTCTAGCAAGGATGGAATCATCTTTACTCTCCATCTCAATTGCTGAACACAAAAGAAACAAAATAAAACACTGAACGATAAGCAATTGATCAATAGCTCAATGGGAAACTTTAATAACAAAATTAGTCAGATCTACTTAACACAAATTCTTGCTAGCTATGTAAGCTGATGGCCTTTCAGAACTTACTAAAATGCTACAAATATACCCTTATTGCTAAGTAAGGCTTCATTTGATTTTTTTTTTTTTCAAATGAAATAAAATATTATGATTTCGTTTCGGACTGCTTTCTTTCTGCTTCTTAGGGCATCTCCAATGGAGAACTCCATTTTTCACGGCAAAATACAACAAAACTTCAAAATGTCGTAGTGCTGCTCCAATGGAACTGCATTTTAAGTACTTCTGCCAAGGTAACGATCCTTCTCCCTTTCACGTGTTTTTCCGGTTGAGAGAGCAAAATAGCATAGGTGAATAGTGCAACGCCAATATTGGCGTCGCACTGTTCACCCGCAAGTAAATGACGGAAGATTTGACGTTCGGCTGGAGCGACCGAACGACGCCATACGCACATTTGACGTTCGGTTGGAGATGCTCTTAAAGCTTCTTTTTAATATAAAAATTTCAGCTTTAAAAAGCAATAAAAAAGCCATCCCAAATGAAGCCTATGTATGATGATATAATTTGTATCAGAATATGTTTGAAAGATTTAGATTTATTTTAAGATTAGTACTATTATATATAATTTATGTTGCAGTATTCTTAAAATAAATTTAATAATTTGTAAGCTTATTTTAAATTATATCAGCATATATTATATAATATTTTTTCTAAAAAAATTGTCTATATGTGAACTTCAAAATTATTATTTTTTTCTTTTGAAATTAATATACTTATATATTTATATATACATCATATCCCCACACAACTGTTTTCTTCGAAAGCCATCCGAAACAAAGCCTACGTATGATGATATAATTTGTATCAGAATATGTTTGAAAGATTTTAAACTTATTTTAAGATTAGTAATATTATATATAATTTATGTTGCAGTATTCTTAAAATAAATTTAATAATTTGTAAGCTTATTTTAAATTATATCAGCATATATTATATAATATTTTTTCTAAAAAAACTGTCTATATGTGAACTTCAAAATTATTATTTTTTCTTTTGAAATTAATATACATAATATCCCCACACAACTGTTTTTTTCATTTAAGCAGAAAACATGTGAGGTAAAAGCTTTGCAAATTGCTTTTTCCATTGCTTTATTTCATAAAGCAGAGTACAACAGTAGCTAACCATTGATCGAACGAAGAACAAAAAGATAAAAGAGAGCAAAGCTCAGATGAACTGAATTCATGAGATAAACACCTTTCAATCAATAGACGATATAGAAAACTAATCAATTCACATAAATTATCTCAACTAATAATTCCTCAGAACATGGATCGAAAGAGAAGATGAAATCCTGTTTTTCTTGATTGAAACAATCCAATGAGTCTTTAAAAAGAAAGAGAAAAATCGTACCAGGGTTGGAGAAGATCCAAAGAACCATGGCGCAGACGATGATGACGACAGGGATGAGGTGCACCATGTTCTCCGCGAACCTCAAACGCGCCGCTTCCTTCTTCGCGATCTCCAGCTGAGAATTGTAAATCGGCAGATTGTCAAGGCACATCGCCGATCTCGATCCTGCCACTTGCCCGGCGTTCATGTAATACTCATCGGAGACCCTCGTGGTCTGCGTTCGATTCATCTCTTCTAAATCTTTCGAAGACGAAACGGAAAGCGAGAGAGAGAGAGAGAGAGAGGAAACGAGAGATGTTTGAAAGCCTTAACGGATAAAAAAAGAAAAAGATCTAAGATAGAATGCCTCGCTGTGCGCGTTCATAGTTTCTGTTATGTAACTGTCAACGAACGCGATGCCTTGTCCAGGGAAGCCAGACACTTGTTCGATGAAATGTCCCACCGAAAGAAACTTGAGAAATGATTTGGCAATTTTAGGAGAAAGGCAGAGGCAGAGCCGGTCTCCTTCTATATAAAAAACAAAAGATTCTTATCTTGTTTCAATTTGTATGATGTAAAAAGATAAATATTTAAAATTAAAAGATAAATACTTAAACTTTAAATTTTTAAATTTTTTTTAAGAGAATTGAGAACAAATTATATTATTTGTAACGGAGATAAATACTTAAACTTTAAATTTTTAAATTTTTTGTTAAGAGAATTGAGAACAAATTATATTATTTGTAAAGGAAAAATTAATAATTATATCATCAATCATTTTATTCATATAAGAACTAGCATAGTTCTTGTATTATGACCAATTCAACGGGTATTTAATTAAAGCAATAAAAATTATTATGATTTAAATAATTATTATAGTAAAATTATAAAAAGAATGAGAACTTTAAAGAAAAATAATAGAGAATCAATTAATATAAGATAGTGAGATATACTTTTTAAACATTTTTAATAATTTTGTGCTTAAAAATTTGAATCATAATATATTTTAAGTATATTTTTATTAATATTTTTTAAACAAACTGATTCCTGCGCGAGCTAAAGAATCGAGTCGGGTTGTCTTAAACTTGACTCGTTAGCTCATTAAGCTCGACTTATGAGCCATTTATCAAATTATGCTCGAACTAGCTTACGAGTCGACTTGACTCGCTGACACCTCTAAGAGAGAGAGAGAGAGAGAGAGAGAGAGAGAGAGAGCTTTAGCATCCTAGGAAAGTAATGCTATGGCTCTAATCTTCATATTAATTATGCCAACAAGACTAAAAAATATATAGTATCAGAATATCATGAATAAAAATTGATTTGTTTAGACTGTAAAGCAGTTCAATTCATTTTGAATTGATTGTAATACATAAATCATCTCAAAATATATTCAAAAACTTTAATTCCTATTTTGATAAAAAATTTAATTAGTATATTATGACCAAAATTTATTCTCAAGAAGGTATTTAATTAGCACCATGCTTCTCTTCTCATGAAAGGAGGTATTAATTTTGAGCTCTTTTACAACTTTATTTACCAGCATAGGAAAATACTTAGGTATAATGTGTCATCAGAAATCTTAACCTGTGATGAAAGATGTTGAGAAAAATTCATCAATGGAGTTTAATTTATATGAGATTATTTATTAGAGTGTTATTTAATAATATTAACTCATGTGAAAGTGCATTACAGCCCGATTACTTAACTTTGAACCATTGTCCATTTTGGCCTAATAGTCTCCAGTTTTTATCTCGTTGTTGTAACTTCTTAGGAAGTCGACCATCCTAAGATTGCTCCCACACGAGCATATATAGCTTTGGAGTTTTTTAATGAAATTCCAACAATTACACTAAAGGCTCCTCGTTGCTTAAGAGTTTTTTTTTTTTTTACTTATGGGATATTTAGTTGGAAGTAAAATGGGCAAATGGAGCCAACTAAATAGCCGCTTAGTTCATTTTTTAGGTAAACTAAACTTATCCAATTTTGAGTGAGAATCGTTGCACGACAAGTAAGTTATCTTGACCACCCCCGCCACTTATTGCCACCACTGCTGTAGTCCTCATCGGCCATCCACCACCCAACCCTGGGCACTGCCACTTGCGACTATCATATTTGACTTTACACTATATTTATTTTTATTCAAATCATGCAAAAAAAAAAATCTTATGCATTTACTTTACATTAATCCAAATACCTCAAAAGTATAATTTTTACATTGCATTTCGTTTACACTTCATTTTTTTACACTAATTTATTTTTTTAGACAACCAAACATTTCCTTAAGCAGTTTCACAAAGTAGTTGAGAGAAATCCACTAAAATTATGACTTATCAGAGATCATTTTGTCATAGTGTTGCTTGACATTAACCTGTATGAAAGAGATGGAGAAAAATCCACCAAAGATGTTAACATATTCAAGATGCTTGTTTGAGTGTTGTTTAATGATACTAACTTGTGTAAAAGAGATTGAGAGAAATTCATAAATGATGTTTGACCCATATGAAATTATTTATAATAATTAACAATTATTCTTTTACCTTGAAAGAAACAAGATATTTATAATAACATTATTTGATGACATTAATCGTTATGAAATAGGTCAAATCAAACCTCCTCATATTAGTTGTACCTTGATTGGAAGGGGTCGAGTGGTACATGTTTTTCAAACTGAAGGTAAATATTAGTCTGTCTTCAGACCATTGCCACCTTTTTTTATGTCATGACTACGAACTTGCTCGAGGAGTAGAAGTCCTTCTAAGGACTTTTGCAGAGTTTAAGATTTTCTTAAATCTTTCTTAAAAAATTTCTTGTATTTATTATAAGATTAAGAATGATAGTCGACAGCAAGATTGTTATATATATATTTTGATCCCAAAAATTAAGGTTGTAGTACATTTAAAGCTTCAAAAAAATTCTGAACAATTAGTGATAATATGGTGAAATTCTAAAAACTGTGAAATCCTGCTTAGTTGTTAAATCTATTACCTACCAGTAAAACATTATCTATATATCTAAAAATGATTTATTTACTTTTCTTTTACTATAATAAAATGATATACATGTTTATATACTTGAAATGTGTGAATTTGTTTAGCTCCGATGATGAAGAAAGTTCTGTAGTGTTGAATGCACATGGAGTCATAAGGGCATGTTCTGAATATCTAATATATGCTAATCATTCGAGAGTCATAAATGTTTGTTTTCTTATATGATAGCACAAGGAGTTATAAGAGCTTGAATTATGACATATGTTTCTGATGAGATATATAATGGCTTGAGAGAAATATGGTATTTTAAGCTCTGATATATGAAATACTTGTTTATTTAATTTCAAAGTAAAGTCTATTTAAATTTTGTTAATTGCTAACACCATTCTGTTAAGTACAATAGCATCTTAACAACAACTATAAAATTCAACTAAATCCATAATAAGTTAATCATTAAAAATTAAGATCAATATGTGTAACATGCTAAGGGTTATTGGCTCACACCTACTATGCATTTTATTTCAAGTCGAGTGATGTGAAAAGAGTTGGTTGAATAGTTGTGGCCTCATGTCTTGATCTGTCAAAGTCTATAAAGGTATTTTTTTGCTTTTATTTTTTTATACATTCATATCTATTCATTTATTTGCTATGTTCTCGTTTGTAGTCATGTACTATTGTATAGTTGTAATTGTATATACATTCAGGTGATGAGTAAAAAAATAGAAGTTTATGGATGAATTTACTTTTTTGTTTACTTGATGCTGATTAGAAACTCTATAGTCTGTTTAATTTAAATAAATATGAAAAGTTCCCAAAATTTTGATCTTGGACTTGACCTGTCATCATTCAACACTATATGACTCATTATGTCCTTGGTCAATCATAAACTTTTATTTAACATTTAAGTGCCTTAATGATATAAAAATTAGTTGATCTTAGTCGTTGGATTTGTATCATCAAAGATACTCGATTCGATTGTAAGCATGCGAGATCCTAAGATCTTTTGGTCATTCAATTAGTGTCATGAAGTTCCTAATCACAGTTGAAGTGTTTGATTTGAATTCATTCATATTTGGATAGGACCACATTTGATATCATTGGGTTAATCTCATTGAGATGTTTAGTTTGATTGTAAGTTTGGTCAAATCGTAGTTTAGATGGTTCATAATTTAATTTCATATGTTTTCTAATTTGATAATGCATTTAATCTAAGCCCTTCTTGATGATGTATCATTTTAGGGCATCTCCAACAGAAAATGTCAATTTTCACTCCAAAATGACGTGAAACTAAAAAATGTCGTAATTCATTTCCAATCGAACTCCATTTGCCTCGTTTGCAGAGGTAACGGTCGTTTTCTTCTTTCGTGCGTTTCTTCACAAGTTCGGTACCGAAAAATAGAGAAGATGAACAGTGCAACACCAATATTGGCGTCCCACTGTTCACCCGCAATCAAATTGCGGAGATTTTACCGTTCGACTGGAGCTCGCGAGCGACGTCATTCAAACGTTTGGAGTTCGGTTGGAGATGCCCTTAAGGTAGAATTAATATTTGATGATTTTGATAGAATAATGAAGCATGAGCGTAATTCAAAATCCTTAAACATAATAGCTATTATTAAGTATTTTTGTTTTGTTTTGTAGGTTCTAAGCTACAATATTTTATTAATTAATACTTTTTTGTTCACACATCAAAAGTTTAATTTTAATTAATTTTAATAAATTTTTATTTTTATCAACACTCTTATTTCATCACTAAATTTAAATATATGATTAGAGGAACAATTTAATCATGGGAAATTCATAAATATATTTATAATATACAATTTTTGAATGTTAATTAATTTAATTATATTTATTTAGTATTTTAGTTCTATTATTTAATAATTAAATTAATTATATTGAATGAAAAATACGATAGAGATGAAATTAAAAACTAGGGTTATAAAAATAATCCCATTCTAATATCTGGACTTATTTTTTTTAGGGGATTTACATATTTGTCATTTTTTAATTTCATATTATTTACAATTTAATATCTAAAATTTTAATATTAGACTTCCATCTTTTATATAAAATTTTAATATCAAATATTCATATATTTTATTCTTATTATTTATATCAACCTATATATTTTAATATTTTTATTAATTATATGAGTGGTAGATATATAATATTTAAATTTTAGATGATAGATATTTTTTAAATAACATCAAATAAAGTTTATGTATTTAAATCACATTTTTTGTTTTCATTGGCGTAGCGAAATTTTTTCTCCGTGAAAAAGTCTAGCCCTAAACAGCCGCGCCTCCCTGTAAATAGCCCTATGAAGCTCGCACTGTCGATGGCAATACGGAAGGGACATCTGTCGTCCAATAAGGAAGCGTAGACAAAGCCGCCGGGAAGAAGATCGAGGATTTTAGCACGCGATCAAACGAGAATTTCCTGAGAATTCCTTCGCTGCTGATATAATATGTGGCGTAGAGTTTCCTCTCAGCTCCATGCGTTCGCTCCATGGCGATCAGCCTTACAGATCCACCGCCCGGCTGCAGCCGGCGACGCCCTGCGGTGTGGAGCCATGAATTCGACCAGAAGGACCGTTCGCTTCTTCTCCGTTGAGTCTGGTACGCTCTACCTCTGAATTTCTAAGTACACAATTCGATTTTGCTTGGTTGGGGGCGGAGGCGATGATTCCATTTTAGTTGTTTAGGTAATGCGCCACCTCCAACTAAAAAGAGGGTGGAGGACATTATGCCGATCGCCACGGGGCTAGAGCGGGAGGAGCTGGAGGCGGAGCTTGAGGTGAGTGAGCCGTGCCTTGTTGAATCTGAGATATTCTTCTGTGGTTCATGTGTTTGCTGAGAGATTGATGGATTATTTCGGTATTTTTATTCTATGGCGCAGGGAAAGAAGCGGTTTGACATGGATGCTCCTGTCGGCCCATTTGGCACCAAGGTTAGCGACCTGGAAATTGTGGATCTGTGTATCATGAGCTGTTCCTGAACTGGATTTTTGTGTTATCGTTTTTTTTCCTTGTCATTTTGAGTAGTTTGAATGCTCTTTTTAAATTTGTTCTTTTATAGCTTTCTGTTCACTTAATTCTCATTGCTAGCCGAGATTTTCCTTTTTCTATTTACTATAGATGTTTGCACCCTTGTTCTGTTATAGATGACACTGATGTCTATGATTGTTTGAAAAAACATGTTTATGCAAAGTGCTTTGATCACATTGGTTGCTAGCTTTTAATAACCAAACAACTTTAGTATATTCTTGCTTATCCCAATTTCTGCTGTTCTAGTACCATAGAGAAATTACTGTACGCTGTACTCTATGGTTTTCCTCGTCAAGGTTTACAACCTTAATGAGAAAATCTTGTTTTTTTTACACTTGTGTTACATCAATCTCTTGAATTCACTTGATGTGCTCACAAATTTGTCAGCTTTCAATTTTCATGCAATTTTAGATGCCCCAGTAGGAGCAGCACATTATTCTCCTGTCCTGAAAGTTAAAAATGGAATGATTCCAGCATATAAATCGATGACCTGCAACTGGAAAATTATCAAGGTCCATAGATTGCTTTAAGATGGTTGATTTGAGGATGAAGAATTTATAGAACCCTCGAAGATCACAATTTTTTCAAACTTGGGTTTGAATTCTATTGGGACTTTAGAAACACTAAGGTTGGAAAGTAGCATGGTCCTTGAGTTTTATACTTAAAATTCTTAAATAGGTTGTCTTTCTGGTAAGGATAAGAGGGTATTGTCTTAGATTTTTTTCCAAGGGCTGTTTCAATTATCTCTCTTGATTCTTGATTTGTTCGAAAATTTCCCTTATAATTTATACCAATGGCTGGGATCTATTCACTCATATTCCTTTGACGGCTCCTATTTTATTGAATAGAATTAGAGGAGTTTGGAATTTTATTTTTCCTTGTCCTTTTCCTATTTATATACTTTTATATTGATTATAGAGGTGCTTGCAAAGGATATTTAAAGCGAGATGTCTTGTTTTATGCTTTTAGCATATGACTAGTTCCAATTGGTGAGACATCTATTGAAGTAAGTAGAAATATAGAATAATGGAGAAAATTCTTAGAAAATAAATAATTTAGAATTAGCAAAACAAAATTTGAGTGTATGATATTATTCATTGTCAATTATTTTGTTAAAATATAAAGTAATATCTAGGTGTAAAAGGTTTATGCTTCTTGGATCCATTATAAGAAAGAATAATTATATAATTTTTAGAGATAAGGGTATGAGTAAAATGGAGAAATATCTCAAGAGTATTATATGATATGAGAATATTATAGATTTAAATGTAAATTTATTAAACTTGAATGTAAATTTTATTAAACTACAATTAGATCTTATATGTTGAATGGATCTAAGTGTATAAAAATCTATGATAGCTAAGTTGGGTGTGATAGAGATAAAAATTTAAGGTTGATGTGTGGCTAACCCAATAAGGATAAATAAAAAAATGATTATAATAGAGGGATGCAAAGCATTAATGAAACGTTAGGCAGTTGAAAGTCGGAGCAGATTACACGACCGAAAGTTCGATCGAACTTTGTTGTCCAAGTCGGAGGAAGAGAGCGTGCGAACGAGAGAAAACAGAGAACAAGCGAATGAGAGGGAGCGGCGGAAATGCTTATAAGAACTAAGAAGAAGCCCTAAGTCTAATAAGGGCGCTCTATTTACGCATGAATGAGTCTGGCGAACAAAATGAGTCGAGGCAGCGCCTCTTTCGCCTTGGCGCCTCGCGCCCAGGGGCGTACGCCTCAGTTGAAAGAAGCGTACGCTTTGCCCGAACACTTGAGGCTTACGCCTTAGTCCGCCCAGTCCACGCCTCGACTCGAGGTGCGCCTCAAGGCTTCCGCCTCATACGCCTTTTTAAACGATGGTCGAGAATGGGTGAATAATTTAGAAATTGGGCACCAAGATGATAAAAATGCTTCAAGGTTGAGAGATGATTGAGCACCAAATATAGTAGTCCGCGGTTCATATTATTTCAGCATTAAACCAATCCCCAAATCCATTTTAGTTATTTTTTATTAATTGTATTGAGTCAACTGGTCTAATCCTATATTAAACCCAAAATCGGTTTATAAAAACACTATAAATAGATCTTTGATGCTGTAATTTCTATTCAAAAAATAATATTTTTGCTTTCATTTTTTTCTTTTCTAGTCTCTTTTCTTTCCCATTCTTCCTCAAGGAGTCCGCACCTACTCAAAAGGTGCTTTCACCTTCTTGATGTAGATCAAGAAGCATAACATTGTAGCATGTAATAAAGTTGTAATGGAAATGTAATTTAACTGTGATTTGTGTCGGGGCATATGAGAACTAATTGCAAGCTTATTTCAAGTCTGAAATGTGCAGTTTATGGCATGAACAGGAGCAGATTAGATTCTGTTGAGAATTTTTGTTATCTGTTTGTCTAGGGATGAGCAACTTTCCTAGAATTCTTAATATTTCTAGAGCTACAATTGATGGCATTTCATAGTTAGAATATAGTTACTATTTGGAAAGTGGTTGCCAATGAACATCGCTTCTACGGTCTCTCTAATATAATCATTTCTCAGTATGTACTCGTTGTACCTCACATTTATCATAATATTTTCAACTTGGCTAAATTGGGATTCAATCATCTAAAAGATAACATATAAAAAGAAAAAGAAACTCTCTAACCTATTTGACACGCCCATGCTAAGTGTAAGGAATCATCATTGAAGCCATGCACCAACTTATTAGCCCTTCATTGGGTTGCGAGTAGCTAATTGTTGGTGCAAGACTGCAAGTGTTCCACATAGGGTTGTTCGTTGCAAGAGCAACCTTGTTGAAAAAGTCTTCAAATTCTTCTGACATTTAAGGGCGGCAATGCCCATTACTCTTTCTCTATCCATATAATTTGGAAATAATAAATTTGATGTCAAAGGAGAGAAATGATTTGTTGAAGCCTTGTCAAGCGCTTCTCCTTGGTCATTTGGTGAGGCTTGACGGTTTGGCTTGTGTTGTGGTGTGTGCGATGCTCTATATAGTAGAGTGGAACTAAGTGGGAGAAGATGAAAGTCACATGCTTAGATCATTTAATGGAAATAAAAATCTAAATAATCAATAATATAAAATTTATTTTATAACCTTAAAAAATATATATTAAAATTATGTGCGCTATAGAGGCTATGCGCCATGTGTTGTTACCCATGCATAGCTTAAATATTGTCCGCTATTTTGAACCTCTTGCACTGCTCTTTGAAAATGATGTAGAGGGTGCATTGCACTGTGTTATGCGTAATAGCATGTGCTATTTTATGCCATTAAGCCTCACAACATCACCTACTTTCAATACAACCTAATCTTCACCTCAGACCCCATCCTCCACTCCCCTTTTTCGACTGGGCCAAATGTGTTGATGTGAAATTGGGACACTCCATCTAAGAAATCTATGGGCAATTCTATGGCGTTCCATTCTCCATCAATGTAAATACTTGTGATTGTCTTCAACTATGTACAAATTCACCTTTTTTCACTTTCGTTCTCCTTCACATTCATCTTAATATACCTTATAGGGCATGAAGCAGTTCATATCGCCTTGTTGTGAAATTTGAAGGCTTGGAGTCAAGAGGATGGATTGTTGATTCATGGTTGTTGGAGATGAGTTGGGTTTGGACATAGTTTCCTCTCTTATGGTAACACAAAGCTCAGCCTCGGGAGGAGGCGTGATAGACAAGATTGCTATGTGGTAAAAGGTTGCGTGATTGATAGACAGTACAAATTGAAAGCAGAGGGAGAAAACACATGTTTTCATTTATTATGAGTTAGAATAAAACAAAAACAAAATGTATTAAAAAGACATAAAACATAACCAGCATTTAAAAAAAATAAATTATTTGCTTGTATGGAGTTTATTTTTTCATTTATGATATGAATTTATGACCTTTCTTATGTGAGGCCATGTTGCTTTTTTAACCATACAAATTAGTTTAGAAATATAGTGTTGTTTTATTGTTAGTATAATTTTAGGAGTAAATTGTATTTCCTCAGGGGAGTCCTCTTATCAAAATTTTAATTTTATGCTAAATTTCCTTTTTTTACCTTTTATTTATGCCCTTTAATGCGTTATTAGCGAAATTGGTTTTGTGATGGCATCTAGCTGCTATCTATTTTGTTGCTTTTTCTCCTATTTGACATTGTGTTATTTTTATGTTTCTTTTTTGTCATGCTATCATACCATATTTACCTTCTAGTTTTGTTTCGCATGTGCATTGAAGAACCCTTTCCCCCCTTCCATGCTTCAAAACCATGGTGAGTATATTTGAGGAATTTTTCTTGCCTTGCAACTTTATTTCTCATGGCACAACACAACATCATCAGTTGAAGTAGAATAGTCTGCGGGTATGCCTTCTTCATGTTTTCTATTTTTTAGAATTTGACATTTGATAATTGCAATTCTAATAAAAATATGTGGCAAAAAGTGCTATTATGCATGTGTACTACGACTTCTTTAATTATGGTACAAGACATATAGAGCATATTCTTCATCATATCGAGTACCCGTGATTCTATTTTAACCAAACATAACAATACAACACAACACTATCAAATGAAGATTTGTAGATTTTTTATGCAAGCCTATCACTTTTTTTTGCAAGCCTATCACTTTTGAAGTCTAGATGAAGGAGCATATTACAATGAAGGAAATATAGTACATGCACTATGGTGATACTTAATAAAAGAAAGGCAATACCGCACATACACATTTATATGTGCAGGGTTTGGATGAATGTTAGTAAAAATGATAATTAACTATCCTATAAGTATTAGGTCATATTCTGACATATCTTATGCTTAAAATTGAAGCATGATTTTATTCTTTACAAAACTCTTCGTAGGAATGGGCTTTGAAAGAAAATTCTTGTTCCGCGAGAGTCAGGGAATTAATCATTATAGGAG